AAAGATAAAAATAAAATCATTATATATATTATTTATGGCCTCTTTCGCAACCCATACTCTGTAATAACCCATACTTTTGAGCGTCCACCGTAGGGTATGGGTTAAGACAGAGTTGACTGTAGTCTCCTTCGCAGCCTTGATCACTTGATAGGAAGTAGCGTCGTTTGAGTGGCACTCCTAGTGCAAATGTGTCCGACTTACCGACGTGAGCGTCTGTACAAAGGCTATGCAGGTACCTCCGCGGTGCCGCCTCCCTTTCTTTCCTTTGTCAGCGGGAGCGCTCAAGGCACATCCGTCGATATCGGCCATTGCCGTGATGATGCAACTGGCCGTCCGCGGGCGACGCGACTTCTGTGCGCCCTTTCTTGACCTACCACGGCTACATACTTCCGCGTCTCATGCGTTATGCTGCTCATTGGCCCTAGGATATCGCGAAGAGGGATCTCATATGGACGTCGTGCAATCAGCGTCTTCCCAAGGCTGAGCAACAAACGAAGCTAGTAGAACAAAGGAACGCAACCCTGTGATCACGGAGTCACCTCGAGGCTCACTTAGTCCTTTTTGGGAATACCACCGTACGCATTCCTTATAAGCGCCCTGTGAGTACGTCTGTCTTGTAAGCCGCCCAGCTTCCCTCTATCCACGGCTCATCAACCATGTTCAGATCGCATCTCTATCGCCTTCACTCCTTCGCTCGCCTAGAGCCCCTTAACCCCGACGCTGCTTGTTTTGCGCCGGACTGCTCGACCGAGTACAAGGGCAGCGTCTTCCTACACGACCATCTTGATGGCTGGTACATCGGCCGCGGCCTACCCGGCATCCCGTGCGATGTCCCCATTCTCGACGAGAAGGTTGCCACAAGTATGTACTCCCCGATGACTGGTCAGCGATGTGTCGCTCATTGCACAAATCCATCTCAGGCTCCATCCATGCCGTTATCTATCGCATCAAGCGACAGAATGGAGACTGGAAGGTGTACTTGAAGGCCCTCTCTAGGACCTCCACGACCTGGGTCAGTCTTATTCTCAGCGGAAGTGTACTTGCCACTGATGTTGGTTTCTGCGTCGTAGGTCAACTCTCGGGATGTAGCTGAGGGTGAGGTCGTGGAGCTTCATGACTCCGCTGAGATATGGTTGGGCTATATTGACGGACAGACTTCCTCCGGTACGTGCGGGACTCCACCGATGCCGATTCACCTTGAACTCATCTATGGTCTTTATGTTAGGTATCCGGTATCTCGATCTGTATTCCCGGCGGTCTTTCTTGCGTGACAACGTTTTCGAGATGACTCTTGGTTCGGGAGCATTTGGCGAGGTCCATAAAGTACACAGTCGGTCAGCCCCACACCTGAAGTCTGCCGTCAAGGTCTTGGATTTTGGACGACGCGGCGGCGTTTCGGAGTGGGATGCGAAGGTGGAAATTGCGATCGTCAAGGATCTTCTAAACCACAATCATCAGCATATTGTGCCTCTATTTTCGATACACGATGATGAAGACCATGCGGAAATGTACAGTGAGTAGTGACAATTCGTCGGTCTTACCCTGTTCTCATTCATTTTCTCTGTTTCGTTAGTGTACACGATGGAGTTTCTTCCCTACGGTGATTTACATCACGTTCTGGAGAGCCGCCCCCAGTTCCTAAGTTAGTGGCTCTCTCTACGTCTTGGAGAAGCTGAGGCTAACGACCGGATTCACAGACCTTGACGAGATATTTGTCGTTATGCTTCAACTTCTCTCTGCGCTGTCCTGCTTGCACAATATGGGCATTGTACACCGTGACGTGAAACTTCTCGTGCGTACTCCTCTCGTTCCCGATAGAAGTGCCGCTAAGCCCTCACCCAGAATATTCTCGTCAAGTCAAGTTCACCGTGGTGGATACTTCTTGCGGACTTTGGTACTGCCAAGCGAATCTCAGCGACGTACTGTGGCAGTGAGGTCACGGTGCGTAGATTTGCTGTCTGCACTGTACGCGCACCTACTAAAGCACGTCATACCTACAGAAGTCTACGGTGGGCACCAGGCACTATGTCGCGCCTGAGGTTACACTGGATCCTCAGGGATATGGTTCTTCTGCAGACGTGTATTCCTCCGGCGTCGCCATGTTTCTCATGTGAGCCCTCTCACCTCCTATTTTTGGGGGCACTACTAACGCCCGGAAAGGCTACAAGGGGAACTTGATCTCTCCCCCTATCGGTTTTCAAACCCGCCGGTGACCTTCCGCGATCACGTCAAATACCGCTCTATCGCTTGGGATCGTCTCCAGCATCGCGATCTGGACACCACAGTGAATGGTCGGAAAGGTTAGTGCTGTCCGTATCCGCGCTCCTGCTTGTACTTACCCTCACTAGCTTTGAAGCTTGTGCGGGGCCTGTTAGAGACGAATCCCCGCGACCGCTTCAAGATTTCGAAAGCTATATCTCAGCTGCGGGGCACCCCGATTGTCGAATCTCGCGATCTCGCGGGAAACAAGACCCAACCGGGTATATCCCCTTCGCTGCGACGGCTCTGTGAAGCAATGGGGGCTGCCATGCAGGACGCTGCCGCCATGGATCTTACATCCGACCAGGATCTCTGCGAGGTCGTCAATGTGGGAAACGGTCGTGCTGTCCCCGTTACCGCTCTTCCTCCAGTGCAGGTCCGGCCCCAACCGCGCCCGCGCAACGTCAAGCGTATAGCCTGTGCGACTGCGCTCCCAGCCTCACACTGCCCGGAGCCTTCTGTTGTCGGAGACGCCAAGCAAGCTGTTGTCGGAGACGCCAAGCAAGCTGTTGAGCGAGGTGATGCGGCCGGCCGGCCTAGCGTGGCTACACCGCTCAGGCGGTCACCGCGTCAGCCAAAGACGAAGCGTGCCCCGCTCGGATGAATGTCCTGTATGAGATACGAGTACATATTCAGGTTTCGAATGCGCATACATAGTTTCTATGCTACGAATATATCTTTGCGCCTATCTTAGTATAAACAGCCCACGGGCGGCGCGAGTGATTCTACCTCAACCACAATGCTACGAGAATTGTAGAGCTAGTGCATATGAATGTCTGGGACTGTGTCCCGGCGTTACAGCCGTTTCCAGTCGCGTCGACGCATCTCGGGAAGCACGACCCAGAGCCGACGCACAACGCGTCCAGGTTCGATCCCGAGGCTTCGACGATCTATGACTTGTTCCACATTCATGCTCAGACAGCCTAGCGCTCTCGATCGCAGGCTTGATAACACTCTGAGACGGCACACTGAAGTCTGCGCTCAGGATTATAGGCCGGGGAAAGAGAAAGAAATCCTGCAGCCAAGTGGGAGACCAATCGCGCGAATATCCCTTCGAACACGACGCGTGCTAAAATTATCCTATTGCTATGAGGCTATCTAAAATATAGTACTACATCGGACATCAACCATCAACTATAACCGGCTGGTTCTTCTGAAACCTCCTATGCGTATTCGCCTGAACCCACGAGGGCGTGGTGGGATTGGAGACGACAAATCCGAGCAGACGGTCCTTAAGTATGGGGTGCGTGATCGGATGCTTCGTAAACTGTAAACTGTGTCAGCCACGGAGCTCTACTCGAAGATAAGACGCACCCGTCGCCAGACCAAAGATCCATCCGCACCGTCGCCAGGCATGATCATCCATATGCGTACCTCGCGCTGATCACTGAGCGCCTGAAACTGAAGGAAAAGATCGCCAACTTGGAGATGTAAGGAAGAGTGGAGGAGCGGCGGCACTCCAAGAGCTTCGCCACCTTCCTGCGTAAGCCAACTCGTCTCCACATCCGCCACATTCCTGATGGCCGCTTTCCGGATCGTCAAGCGTACACCCTAGTAGTCTTCGTGAGTCCGTTATCAGTGACCGCTTGATTGTTCGGAGCCACCCGCACTTACATTGGAATCTTGAAGAACAGGTGATGAGAAGATGATGGACTTCTCGGCCGAAAGCGTGGAGGAGACACTCGAAGCTATTATCAAGTGACGTTAGCTCTTTGGGCGGGTAAGAGTCCGTCAGGAGACTTTGGCGCACAGGAATGGCCGCCTTCCTGGTCTTGCCTTGGTATGGAAGATCGTCCTTCGCCGACTTTTGGCACGCCATCGACATCCCCAAACCCCCGTTCAAGGCGTTCGCGAGCGTCACTTAAGACGGGGAGTTCCTAGGGCAGGGTTTTGGTCAGTCAGTCATCGAAGAAGAGGGATCAGGAGAGGATAGCATCTGAAGCACCTCGTCTAACGCGCGATCGGGTTGTAGGATAGCAGTGGCCGAGTGGATGTATCGAGGCTGACGCAACGTATCATCAACGCAAATCCCAGAGCGTGGCGTGACATCGCGCTCGTCGAGACTGAATTCGGCGGTGAGAAATAACAGTTCAGATATGTCCATCGGCGGGTGAATCAAGGAGAGAACAGGCTTGTCACAACGCGCTGAGGAGGTTAGTCACATCGTGCGTCATGTCACGAACGTTGTCACCACGACGTTGTCACTGTTTGGCCTCCCGAACGAACTTCCTCTCCACTAGCATCGCTACGACAGCTGATGTAGCATACACCACCCTCAGCTGGTGAGACTCATATCACCAGGTTTCACTCTGTACCTTCTCTACCAACCCCTGGAAGGACCGCCATCGCGCACGCCACACTATGTCCGCGGCCGTTTGTCACAATTTCCTCTCGATGTCTTCCAGTTGCTGACATGATGTACGCAGTGCGTCTATTCTTGAATTGGTATCATACCACATCCGAAGTGGCTTATCTGCTGCTGCGAAGTCAATGCAGTTCCCCAGCACTCCGCGGTGCGTCTTAGCGCGACTGTATGTTTTTGATGACCTACTGACGCCGACTACAGCCGTGCCATATCCTCAATCATTCGCCGTAGTTCCCGGGTGCATAGATCGGAGCTGTACGGGCTGATGCGGGATGGCGTCACTCGTGTTCCTAGGCAGTTATTAACGCTGTGAATATATCCTGATGGTCTCTTCTCACGCGAATTGCTGCAATGAATCAGCAGGCCCTCGCTATCGTCGCGCCAGACCTAAGCCAGTCCTCGAGCCAGATGACTAGTGAACGTTTGAACCGCGCTCGACTTTTCAGGCGGAAGTCTATCCTTGACGTGGGGTTGAGCTCAAATATCAGATCAGAGTCTAAAGGCCCGGCCCGCCAATTACGCCTCGTTGCGCCCAACAGTTTCCGGAGCTTTCGGTGAACTATCGAGGTACACGTAGGGCATGCATCGCATGATCTGCACGCGTCTGGCCACTTGCTCCCTTCTCCCATCATCCGCTGAATCATATCGTCGGGTAGTTTGCGCTGTCATGCAGGTGTGTTGCAGTATTGTGCTCCGGATCTGGCTACCTTGATGCTGATCAGATGTAGTCAAACCCGTCGGGAACCCCGTACGCGTGCTTCCAGCCTTGCCGAGCTCATCGCAGCCTTCGCCCCATCTATCTATCGAAACCCAAGACCATCTATACTCTTGGGCGTGATCCTGCCAATGACATATATCTTCCAGGGGTCAAGATAAGTGAGTAACTCCGCCGCTTGTTTCTCGATCCGTCCTCTCATGCGATCTTAGGCTACGAGCACTGTATCATAACGTGGAACGGGCAAGAAAATGACGACATTGTCGTTTCGGTGCGAGACACATCTTCGAATGGCACCTGGGTTAGTTGCACGTTACGGCCTGCCGTGTCGAGACTGATAACATTGGCCAGATCAACGGCCAACGTGTTGAACCCACTTATACCCGCGTGCTGCGCGACGGCAATGAGGTCGCGTTCGCAACACCCTTGTATCAACAGCATGCCGACGAAGACTACCGGTACATCTTCCGTATATTGGTTGGGGAGGCCGCTACAGTTGGTCTAGGCGCACATTACGACCTTACACACGAACTGGGGCACGGCGCGTTTGCTACAGTCATGAAGGGCGTTCACCGCGCGAGTGGGGATTGGTGTGCTGTGAAGATCATACATCGTAGAGCTCGAGACGATCTGTCGACCCTCATGCGCGAGATAGATATTCTGAAGTCTCTGGAACATCGGAACATCTGCGCACTGCGCGAGTGTTTCTTCCCTCGCAGTGACGACTGCAGAGATGACAATATCTGTGCGTATTCGATTCCTGCCGTAGCGGGCCGCTGAATATCGAGGAATCGTAGATCTTGTGCTAGAACTGGTGGACGGTGGGGACTTGTTTCAATACATAGCGGAAGAGCATGGTCTTCGTGAGTCGTTTGTTGTTCTGTCTGTAGCCTCATGTCTCTCATGTACCGCCTCAGCTGAGCTAAAGGCGAAAGATATTGCGGGACAGGTCTGCGATGCCGTGGCGGTGAGTTGGTATTCGTTTGCATTCACCAATCATCGGTCCTGATCAGCGACCAACAGTATATTCATAGCAAAGGCATCGTGCATCGCGATTTGAAGCCAGAGAACATCCTCTTATCGCATGACAAGACTGTCGCCAAGGTGACTGATTTTGGTATATCAAGGTCTCTAGAAGGATTGTCCCAAACACGCGTGCGTCCAATGTCGTGCGACTATCGCTAGTCACGACTGATGTTGACGACAAATGATAGACGATCTGTGGGACACCCTCTTATCTAGCACCTGAGCTCATCGACGGTGACAGTGGTCATTCGGGGAGTTACGACCATCTCGTGGATAGCTGGAGTCTCGGTGTTACGGTGTTCTGCACGTATGTTGACCTTCACTTCAGATACTAGCTCGCTTACCCGCTCTCTGAGGTTGGCTAATTGTACACCTTTCATCGAGGACCTATCCTTACCCATGGCCCAGCGGATCAGTAGACGTCAGATCAATTGGACTCTCTTGGGTGGGCGGTCAGACGAAGTGAGCGAAGGAGGTAAGCCTTGTACTGATTTGACATGCAGAGACAGTCTCATACATGCTCTCTAGCACGGGACTTTCTCCAGCGCTTGCTCGATACAAACCCAGTAACGCGTATGAGTGCAGCGGACGCCATCAAGCACCCATGGATTGCAGGCGGAGAAGCCGCTTGTTCACAAGACGCTCGCAATCTAGCGCAACCGGAGCCACAACCTGCGATGGCCTCGCTCTCGGTGGCGACACGGGCAAAAGCTGGCAAGCGCACCCCGAAGCGCTCAGGGGTCAATCAGAAGGTGCCTGCGGTCCAGCGCACTTTGCGTCCCCGTCAAGAGCCGGAGATCGTCAGTGGACCCTTGCGCAAGACCCGTGCTGCCGCGAAGCCAACGTCCAAGGTTCGGACAACTCACAAGACCCGCGGCGCTGCCACGAAAACATCGCAGTCTCAACCAGCCGCATCGACGCGTATTACAGCTGTCTCATGTGAGTTTGGGAAAACGCGCGTCGCGCCGAAAAATAAATAATTCGAACCCGCGCGAGCTGGCCCGCCGCGCACGCGGCGCACACCCCGTACTCACAGATGTCGTACAGACCACTCAGAGTACATTTTTAGTATCTACGTAGCATACTGTTGTACTTTAGTGACAATCGTGACAATGTACTGCCATGATACTCGGTCTTACAGCCGGTGACGACTGGAGCGCGCGCGCGAGTTCGCGCGGGTCCGAGTTATTTCCTGCCACCAAGCACACGCAATCGGCATTCCCGTATCCCGTATATCTCACACGAAAGGAGATGTCGGCTCACACATATCCTTACGATGCGCTTGCGACGTGGGATGAGGGGATTTTTAAGGATCCAGTTACCCCGCTCGCACAGTTCCCTCGCGAGGACGACTGGGATTTGAGCACCCCAGCAGACTTGTATCCGTGCGTGGCCTTCATATGTTTACCTATCGAGACTGATTCATTGGTTCAGTGCTAAAGAACTGGATATTCCAGAGGTCATCGAGATTAACGCACGAATCATTTCCCTCGAAAGAGAGATCCAAGCGCTACGCCTACGCAAGGCCGGCCTATTCATGGCGCACACGCCCGTCAAGTGCTTACCACCCGAGATACTTGGGCGTATATTTGAACTGGCTGTACATCAAGACCCGTGTCTACTCCCCGATCTCTCCCTCGTCTCTACCCTCTGGCGGCGCACCACGTTATCGACGCCGACCCTATGGACATACATCATATACGAGAGAACGGATGCATGGAGTATGGAGTCATCTGCGGAATTGCATGCATCGTTTATGCGTATCATGAGGACGCAGCTATTGCGGTCGGGCGCCTGCAAGCTCTACGTGCAACTGGATGTATGGCGCATAGAGTCGCTCACTCTATTCCAGCAAATACTGGACGAGCTCAACCCTCACCTCGAGCGCGTGTATTTCTTCAGCGCTCGCGTGCGTAGCTGGGAATGGATGCAGCGTATCGCCGACGCTGGACGCTCATTTGGCCCCGCATTGGAGCAGATACATCTAGATGTATACAGGGGGTGGGAAGGCGGTGTTCCATGTATCGCACTCGAGAGGCCCTGCCCTGCCCTTAAGTATGCCGTGCTTGATGGACTTCCACCATATGTGCTGGGCGACGCAATACAGAACGTGCGTGTGCTTCACTACGCTGGTGACCGTCTTCGACGCCTCGATCTTGATCGACTCCTGGCGACTGCGAGTGCGGCAATTCAGTTGCACACATTGCGATTGCAAACACCGCATTTTGGACTCGCAGAGCCATCCATTCGACCTCTCCACGTCTCCCACAGCTTGCGCACGGTTGTCCTGCATCATCTTAGCAGCGATGAAATATCAGCTTTCGTGCGCGCCGGACGTTTCCCTTCCCTGGTACATCTCGGAGTCAAGATGCACGCAGCGACGCCCGGCGATGCCGATGCAGCGGCAGCTACTAATCCCGTCACGATCCTGTGGCTATTGCATGTCGCGGAATACTCGAAGGAGCATCTTCCCGCGTTGCGCCTCTTGGATATTGGTGGTGTTTCATTCGATGGTTCGGCGCGCGAACTTCTGTTGCAGGCTCTATGGCGATTACCCCAACTTACCGGCCTTGCCTTGAGCTGTCCCCCGCAACAGCGGGCGCTTGGGGAGGGTGTGCTGGATATGTTTGGCACAAGGACAGGGCATGGAGCTTGGCTGCTCCCTCGGCTCGAAGCACTCGCGTTCTGGGCGTGCAGTGACATCACCGGGCACGAAGTCCTACAGGCTCTGCGCGCACGCGCCACCGAGAGCAGCCTGAGTCGTATCCATTACCTCAAGATAGCTCATTGCCCCGAATTCGCCTCGGAGGTGTATGCCCCACTCGCTCAGTTAGCAGACAATGTGCTCATACTCTGATCGTACACTGTATACACCCCCCAAATTTTTCATTTGCGTGTCTCCAAAACTTATCCCTTTTTAACTCAAAATCAAGTTAATAAAATATTTTATTTGTGTTCTCGGAAGGGTTAACATTTATGGCAAAAAAGTTCAGTGCGTAAAGGACAAAGGATATTGCTCATAAACGTGGTGAACAAAGGAAGCCCTTGATCAGATAAAAGTTATCAAACAAAGGAAACACTTGAGTTTTCGCCCTTTTGTCCGATAAAGGGCCGATAAAGCATGTAAGTTTATTTCGCATTTTTGTGGGCTTTTCGACTCACTAAAAGACGTCCATGTTGGCGGTGTGTCCAGGTGAGCCATATGGCCAAGGAAGTGATTGTCTTGAGACTCATTTGTCTCGTGTGAGTTGTTATTGTTGCCAAAGCCACCACAACTGTGGCCATGTCCACAACCGCAAGTGTGCTGCTTGGTGTTGTCCTCATTGTGTATGTTGGAGTCATGGCTTGACAACTGCTGCTACGAACAACTGCGCCCGTGACTGCCTCTGTGGCCGTGCTGCTGCTGGAACTGAGGAGCACCATTATTGCGACAAACAGCAGTAATCTTCTGTGTACCGTTGAAGTGCAAAGCCTCAGGTGCACCATACTAAGCATAGTAAGTGTTCATGGTGCAAGACTTAATCTCATCAGCATCCATGTTACCGAGCTTCTTGTCCTGCGACAGCTGCTGGACAAATGAGTGTATGAAGGAAGCTTGGAGAGCAATACCATGGTGTGAATAAACTCAGGTATCTTGACACCAAGCTCAATCATGTGGCAAATGCGCTGGTCAATGTGCTTAATGGCCTGAAGCAGGTTACTCTTGGAGGGAATGATAGCATGGATGAACTGAACTAAGACATTATAGACACTAGCTGTGCCAGTTGTGCCTTACATCTTCTTGAGGTGAACCCACATATCAAAAGCACAAGTTTCTCTTGTGAAGCTTATTTGAGATTAGTAGGGATGCAGTGCAGAAGATGAGTGCCATGGACTTGTGAGTACTGGACCTTCTAGTTATCATCAGACTTAGTAACGCTTGACATACTTCTCAGAGAGACGACCGTAGAAGTCATCAGGTTCAAGGCACTTCTTAGTGATAGAAGTGGAGGTAAGAGTGGTAGTACTACCAGGCGTAGTGACACCAATACTAGCCACAGTGTACGTGGTATGATAATCATATCCAAGATAGTCTTTGATAATGTAGAACTGGCCCTGCTGCATGAGGTATGCCTCAAACTGCTACAGAAAGAGCATATAGTTTGTAGTGAGGATGGAAGAGCCAGGAGACATTTTTGATATCTGCAGAGAGCATCAGTGTCAATTCTTGAGCATATAGGTGGAATATGCAATGCCATAGAGCATGCTGCCATCTTGTCGACACACAATGGCGACCAATAGGTCTGCAACATTGGCATACATATGCACAATGGCAAGCTAACACTCTGCGACATTGGTAGACGGAACGATGGTGATCATGAGATCTACAACATTGTGACCAGGCAAGCCCGGAAACAGAAATTAGTGTGGGAAATGACCGGGGTTCATAACCTGTCAAGCATAGCATACACACGGTAGTACAGTCAACTCTGTCTTAACCCATACCCTACGGTGGACGCTCAAAAGTATGGGTTATTACAGAGTATGGGTTGCGAAAGAGGCCATAAATAATATATATAATGATTTTATTTTTATCTTTGATTAAATGCGACTTTTTCCGAAGCTATTGAGAACATCTATGTTAAGCAGACTTGAAGTATTGGGTCATAGAGGTATCCTTGAGGCTCTTAAGGCCCTCTAGGCAAGTCTGGTGACCAAAGTCAGCCAGTACCTTCTTCATACTATGTGCAAAGTCCCATCAACACCTGAAATATACTGCTGAAGTGTAGCAACAGCAGCTAATGTGTCTGTGCGGCTAGGGAGTGGTGTCTCAGGCTCATCATTGTCAATGACAATGACATTGCCTTCTGCATGCCGTTCAGGAACAGCCGAGCAGATCTCCTCCTCTGAGGTCTCTTCCACCACAATCTGCTCAGCAGCTGAGTTGACAAGCTCCTCAAGGTCAACGCGGTTGTTCTTCTGAAGCACACCACGTTCCTCAAGTGCATCAAGCGAGTCAGACACAGACTGCTCAAGCTCAGAAAGAGGGTTGGAGGTAGGAGGAGGAGTAGACATATCAGGAAGAATACCTGTCTTCTCCCAGCAGTGGCGAATGGTATCCTCAGTGACCGCCTTCCAGGCAAGATCAGCAAGGCGCATGGCCTCAAGCTGATTGATGACATAGATCTCACTAGGAGTAATGCCCTGGTCATAACGGTTGAGTGCGCGTTGCATGAAGAGGCGACAATAGTGGGCCTTGAAGGCACGGATGATACCAGCATCAGCAGGTTGAACGTGCGCGGTGAGGTTGGGAGTGAAGTTGGCAACAGTGATGTTGGTGAGACCCTCAGGAGCAACATGACCACTGAAGTTGTCCTGAAGAAGAAGAATAGACCTATTCTCCTTCCTCAATTCAACATCCCAGTCATGGATCCACTCCTGGTAGAGTGACATAGTCATCCAGGCCTTGGCATTGTTGCGATAAAGAAAGCCGAGTTGTTTACCAGTCTTCTTCTGGAATGCCCGTGGCTTTGCAGCTTTACCAATGATAAAGGGAGGAAGACGCTCGCTGTCATCTGCATTCATAGTGACTGCATATGTAAGGCGGCTCTTACTCCCCTTCACACCAGAAAGCTGCTTGGCCATAAGACCACGGTCAGGAGGCATACTGTAAGATATATTTAGTTCAAGCCAGTGAATATAATTTAAGTCACGCACACTCAGAAGAGACCAGTCTCATCCATGTTCCAAATATCCTTCAAATGATAGCCGTGCTTCTTGATAAGCTTGCGCACCCGCTCCTTCTCCTTCTCTACCGTCTCAGGATCTGCAGAAGCTACTTCTCCATGATGCTTGAACTCGCAAAGGCCGCAGCGCTTCTTGAATGATGTGAGCCAGCCATCACTGAGACTCAAACTCTCATCAAGAGGCACTTTAGCCAAATTAGCAAAGCGCATCCACTTCAAACAAAGAATTTCGCCTGAGAGGTGAACGTTATCACGCATAGCCTTTGCAACTCAGAGCTCTAGCATCTCATCAACCTCAGGATGCTCAACCTGCCTAGCACGCTTAGCGCGCTTTGCATGATCTGCATTATGAGAGGCCTCTGATTCAGCCCAGTGTTGACGCCACTTTGTCTCGTCTTTGAGCCAAGCAGAGATCAAGGACTGTTTGATGCAGAGATTGAGATAGATGGGTGCAAAGTGCTTTGCGGTCTTAGACTGGTTTTTACCATTGGTATGATGCCAGTCTAAGATCTCAATACACTGTTCAAGGGAGGCATTCTCCTTGCGAGTAAAGATGGAGGGGGTGGAGGGAGTGGACTCAGACTTCTTCTCAGGAGCTTTACACTTCGTAGGGCCTATGTCTGAATGAGTAAGATGAAAAGATCAATGAATAGACCACGCACGCTTGCGCCTATCAGCTACAGCCTCTCCTGACTCTGATGAGCTGGCGCCTTTTCCATCTCCCCCCTCCTTAACCAGCTCCTCAACCATCTTCTTCTCTCTAGTATTGAGGCGTGTGAGGGCGCGTTCAAAGTCTGAAGCAGTCTCGAGAGTATTGACAAGAGCCTCTTCATCAACATGGTTAGCCTCCTGATCTAGCCAAGTCTCTTCTGAAGATGAGATCTTCTCATTAGAATTTAGGCGGTTAAGCAGTTCATTCTCCTTGATTTGAGTCTTGCTTTTGAGAGCAGAGAGACCAGCTTTGATAGCAGCAAGTGAGAAAGTAGGTGTCATAGTGGGTGGTGGTGGTAAGAGGCAAGTTGCGAGTTTGAGTCACAGACCATCACATGTGTCACATTTGCTCACAGAGCTCATATATACTCTGTGTATAGTACAAAGCATAGTGGGTTACACTGCTCTATGCCACTATGGTATTTTCGGAGCTTCCTGAATATTTTTGGAATTAAACTATGGGTTACGAACCCGCCTATGGGCCATGTATTATGGGGTATAAGAATGTTATGGGTTCTTACAGCCTACCATGTCCGTGGACGGCCAAACGCTATGGAGTATCACAGATTATGGGTTACCGCAGCTATGGGTTAAGACAGAGTTGACTGTACCAACGATCTTTTATATGCCCTATTGAGCAGTGTGTTTAGTAAAGTAAGCACATGCTCTATTGCATGCTGAACATATACTTATTTCTTGTTTCCTTTCACAGTACCTTCAGCCCACCTAATGGCTTATCTGTATTGTATATACTATCGTGCTAGGCTCCCAGCTCCTCTACATATATATCTGCTGTCTCTGCAATGCTACGTAAAGGTCACTTGCTTCCAACTTCCACCTAGTTACTACTGTATCCATCTATCCAAGTAAGTCTGTGTAAGCTTGTACAGTCAACT